GAATTTACGTACCGAATTAAGTTCACACGGCAAGATGTTTGCGAAAAGATATTACTTGAAAAGCAATCAATAGCACTGTAAGCCGATGTCATTATATCGCAGGGAGAAAAACGCTCAGTGCACTCGAAAACTTAAATCACTTTTCTAATCACTTTTCTAATTTCGTCTAACTTTATTGGAGTTTTGTATCGAAATAACAACACCATTTCAAGAAGAATTCCAACAAATACGTTTCAATCGGTAGCTATTACTGTGCAAACTGATCCTTAATCGCTTCATTTATTCTTTTTTCCGCAATACTGCGCCCAGTTTAACAAGTCCCGATTAGATCAACATCTAGTTATTCAAATCTATGTGCACGTGAGAGTCGGTACTGCGCTCTCTAGGAAACTACTTATATCTAAATAAAGCTTTTTTAATATAAAAAAGTCTCCTTCTATCATTTCGCTTGAGTTTACTGTTCAATTTTCAAAATGTAATTGAAAAAAAATAAAGTAGATTCATTCATACAATAAAAGATAATTAATAAAATTTATTTTTACAAATATAATTTTCAGCTTAAGAATTAATAAATGTAACACTTGAAAATTCAAAGTTGAACATTTTTGCTATAAAACAGCGTTTTTTTTATTAATTTTGCTTCTGATTTGCTCCAAAGCAATAATGCTTATAAAAGGAACTTTTTTTGGTTCGAAACTTGCAATATTATTTTTACCGCTGTTTACATTGTATCCTTGTCATATCAAATTGTGTTTGTATTGCATTTATTAAAAGGAAGAGTACAATTCTTTCAAGACTTTATCAACGATAACGGAACGAGATCGATCGATCGAGGTGCGGCGCACCTACCAGGGTCGTCAAAGATATAATTAATTTAAAACCCACCCCAGCCGATATTATGTAGCGCCGTATCCGTATCGACGCTGGATTTACCGGGAAATTAATTGAAATTACATTGTACTGAACACTAGCAATATATCGCCCCAATTGTATTGTTGATGTTATTTTCAAATTATGTTTACTGCCCCGCAATTCTATCTTGCGGTTTCATATTTACGTCAAACGATACTAAATACAATAACATAATATAATAAAATAATTTTATGTCACATAAAGAAAACGTGGAAATTATTATCTTAAATTATATGTTTAAAAATATAATACGTTTTTTCTTCGTAATTCTATAAAAAAATTTATAGGAATATACAACACATATAATAAAATACATATGTAATAAAATGTACAGCACAGTTAATAAAAAAGATAGGGCAATATTTTATTTATAAATTTCGTATGACAACCGGGCGGTACAATTTTATTTTTCGTATTATTTGCTAATTAAACAAGCTGACGTTTGTTGAGAAATCGTACTTGATAAATATTATGTTAAAAGATTATATAAATTGCGGTTTTAATTTGATTGCAAATGAATTCAATTAAAATTTCTTTGAGGTTATCAAAAACTGCCGCGGTTACAAATGTGACTAAGCAATGTTAAAACTGCACGTGTGACTACAATAGCTTCTCTTGCAAGCGTGCCACAATGAATCAGCTGTAACGTCACTGAATACATCGGCACATAAGAAACATATTTACTTGACTGATTTATTTGGAATGTTTCAACACCATCATAAAATTTATTTTTCATGATATTAATTATTTTCTGTATATTTTTTAGATAATCTTATAGCATGATTTTATTACAATTTCAATAAACTTCTATAAATTCTCATATTGTCAACATTCTAATTTTTAAATTAAATTAGTATCCTTATAAATATTTTTTTAAATTATCCTTATAATTACTTTTTTTCATACTTTACTGTCCCGTTTATTATAATACAATTAATATTAACAATAGAACCTATACAGAAATAATCGTAAGGAATATTTATGAAAACAACTAGTGCAAAAGAAGCTTATAATAAATCTAAGAAATGGAAGGAAGAAAATTGAAAGCTCCACTTTTCTCTATCGGGTTTCATAAACCTGAACGTTAATTGAATTTTCGTTTCTACTTAATTTGGTTTCTAAAATAAGCTAAATGTCAGCGGGATCACAATTAAACCTGGGTTGAATTTAACTAAAGTGTTTATATACGGCAACGGGAGACAATCGCGGCGTGATGTCGTCGGGAGGGAAACGGAAATTGTCGGTAGAAGCCATGTGTTCGTCGTCATTCGCGCGCAACTTTAGCGAGGCCGCACTTAATTGCGGTGTTGTTTGGTTCTACGGCCTCTCTTTCATTAATTCAATTGTCTTTTATCAGCGGGAATGCTACCGGCCAGCCCAGACTGGATAGCATTTGTTCGGTTGTCGAGCGAGATGCGCTTTTTTACTTTTTCAGAACAAGAATACTTCTCTTCCTTCGGTACGTATTGTATCAAAGATATAAGACCTGTTGGTTTTACCTTATCTTTACGTCATTTATGTCAAAAAGAGACCGACATATATTTTACAAGGAAAAAAAGAAAACATCTAAGTGTCGCGAAAATAAAATTAAAATAAATAAAAAATCTGTAATCTTTAGCATATACATAGGTTTTATCTTAATTTAATCTTGCGATGTAATGAATTAACAATTATTTACTCGAACATGCCTTCCAAGAGAACATCGTCCTCTATGTTTTTCTAATCTCGTATAATTGTGCTGCTGACAAGACTTTTAAGATATTATATCTCTTATTTCAAAAACAAATGATCTTAATTTTAATTTTTTCATTATATTGTTTGAAATTCGTAATATTATATTCGATGATATTTTAAGTACATTAGATTTTTATCACAATGCTATTAATAAAGAGATAAAAATTTTGAATAAAAATTCTTAATTTGATGTAAAGCATAATTTACGTGATTGTACTTCTAATTTACGTACATTTAATTTAACGTACAAAATTATTAATAGATAGTATCATGTTGCTCATATAAAACTAAAAAGAAAAATGTTTCAACAGTTTTCTTAAAAAATTATTATTTATAAATAAATTGTATCGACGTAAAATCTAATATACAGAGTATCTCACAGCCACCGTACAGTATTTTAAACGTCTTATAAGTTAGCGGAACAAAGTGAGCGGAATCGATTTTAACCAACATTTTTATTTGTTGCTCATTTGTTGCTAAAAAGTTGCCAAAGAAAAAAATTTGTTGCTCTGTCGATTTATTTAAAAAATGAGGTTTCGCTAAAGGAAGATTAAGTTAGCGGAACGATAAACCTATAACAAAGCCAACCTACGTAAAATTAACGTAGGAATTTGTTGCTAATTTGTTGCTAATTTGTTGTTCACAAAATATCATTATTTTGAATATATTACATAGTAAAAAAATGTAAATAACAACGAGAAGCCTCAACGTGCTGGCGAAACAAGAGTAAACTATTAGTAAAAAATTTGTTGCTCGCTCAAATTTGGTACTGGGATGTCGTCTGAATTTCTTGCTCTCGAAACACGCAATTAATGAAATTGTTGCTTACAAAATAAGTATAAATAATCACGAAAAACCTCAGCGCACTGGCGGAACAGGAATAAAGTACTAGTAAAAGACTTGTTGCTCGCTTAAATTTGGTACTGGGATGTCGTCTGAATTTGTTGCTCTCGAAATATGCAATTTACGAATTTGTTGCTTGCAAAATAAATATAAATAATCACGAAAAACCTCAGCGTACTAGCGGAACAAGAATAAAGTAAAAAATTTGTTGCACCAACTTTAAGCGAGCAACAAATCTTTTACTGGTACTTCACTCTTGTTCCGCCAGTACGCTGAGGTTTTTCGTGATTATTTATACTTATTTTGCAAGCAACAAATTCGTAAATTGCATATTTCGAGAGCAACAAATTCAGACGACATTCCAGTACCAAATTTAAGCGAGCAACAAATCTTTTACTGGTACTTTACTCTTGTTCTGCCAGTACGCTTAGGTTTTTCGTGATTATTTAAACTTATTTTGCAAGCAACAAATTCGTAAATTGCATATTTCGAGAGCAACAAATTCAGGCGACATCCTAGTATCAAATTTAAGCGAGCAACAAATCTTTTACTAATGAGTCTCTTGTTCTGCCAGCATGTTGAGGCTTCTCGTTGTTATTTACACTTTTTTACTATGTAATATATTCAAAATAATGATATTTTATGAGCAACAAATTAGCAACAAATTAGCAACAAATTCCTACGTTAATTTTGCGTAGGTTGGCTTTGTTATAGGTATATTGTTCCGCTAACTTAATCATCCTTTAGCGAAACATCATTTTTTAAATAAACCGACAGAGCAACCAATTTTTTTCTTTGGTAACTTTTTAGCAACAAATGAGTAATAAATAAAAATGTTAGTTAGAATCGATTCCGCTCACTTTGTTCCGCTAACTTATAAGACGTGTATTTTAATAATGTATTCTAGAGGTAGAGTAAAAAACCTAATACAAAAATGTCATAGTCATAATAGTTTTGAATTATAACTTGATCAAAGATAACCAGTTATTACGTAGAATTCGCGCAGAGGCCCATAGTTATACAAACACGCGTTTCTAAAAGATAACAGGCCGATGCTCATGTTGTGTAACGAGCCTCATCGCTCTAATTCTACACGATATTATTATCTGTTTAATCGGTTATAATTCAAAAACTATTGTGATATTAGGATTTTTACTCTACTTTACCCCGCTCCCTCACCAGAGCATTATTAAAATATTAAGAATTAAATTCTTAATTTGTAAAACATAGTTCATGTGTTTGTATACTTATAAAATTATAAGACACCACCACTCTGCAGTAGGATATTATTTTAGAATTTTTTTCTCTTGGAGAAATAAATACGAAGTCGAGGATTGAATTCTCACTTTTTAAATCTTGGTTCAGCTAACTCTTCACATTTTTTAGTTCTAAAAATTAGAAAAAGATGAAGAGTAAGTGATTCAAGATTAAAAAATTAATCTACATTGATAGAAATGGCCTTTATTCAACCCACAGATATCAGAAATCGCCGGAGAAAAGGAGGAACTCACCTGTAGGCGAGGGACATGCATTTGAAGAGCTTGTTCAAGGATGTCTCGATGCTCAGCTGCTGGGAGGTGTTCCTGTCGTTCAACGTACTCGCGAATCTCTCGTAAAAGCAACCTGGCGTGGTAGAGATCGAGAACTCCTCCTGGTCCGGCACCGGCACAGCGAGCTCGTCTTCATCGTCCTGTGCCTCGGCCTCGAAGTCCGACACCATAAAGTGGCCCGAGTGTATCGTCTCCCGCGAATCCCGTCCTCCGTTCTTTTCCCGTTTGTTATCATTGCCGGCATGATGAAAACCGCCCTGGCTCGTCATCGCCGATGGTTTTCGATACATCAATTCCGCCTGCATCTCGGCACCGCCGATTCTCTGTGGACACAAACGGTTCCTTCGATATACCAATTTCACCATGAGTCTACCTTACATATCTATATCCTTAATAGTTTCCGATAATAATTGTCTACCAAATAATTTAAGTCACATTATATAAATAATACGTTATAACTGCATGATGACAACAAAAATATTAATTAAAAATAGATAAAATATAAAATGTTAATTAAAAACTTATCTTGATAATAACTTATCTTGATAAACAAACTTTTCATAATAAGTTATTGTAATGAAGATATAAATAAACCCTTATCGTACAAGCTACAATTTGATGCTTCATCTATACAAATCATTCATACACGGGTCACTAGAATCCGTTCGTTTTTTCACCTATTCAGAATGATTAAAAAATCTCTAAAAATTCACTAACATACTTTCAACTTTCTAGAATAAATATTGAAACTTTATTTTAAAAAATAATAAAATGTAGTATAATTTTTATAATTACCGAAAGACTCATAAGTTGGGAAAAAATGACATTTGATTTTAAAAAATTATAATTTTTCATAATAAATGAATATAAAAAAATGACTCCAGGATTTTGTAGTTTAGATATGAAGTTTTGAAAAAAAAAGTACTAGAACTTCGAATTTTACAAAAAGTTGAATTATTTGAGCACATGAATATGAGTAATTTTTAACAAGAAACAAATAGGAAAAATCGGGTTAAAATATGCATTTTTTTATTTTGTTGTAAAATAATGTACTTTTTAATGAAAAAAAAAATGTAAACACACATTTAGATAAATATGTAAAGAAAGGCGTAATTCGTTTCTTTAACTCCATTTTGACTAAAAAATAAATAATTCTTTTAGAAAAAAATTTTTTTAATGAAAACAAACATTCAGACATTAATTTAGAATGAAAATAGAATACTTATAATGATTTTAACACAATTTTTATTTTTTCACAAAAAGCATCCTTTGTATACTGACGGGGGTCACTAGCGTCTCACGTCAACTTGAACTGCACGCCAATCACAGGCAGATTGGCGGCCGGGGTCGCCCCGCCGCGCACAGGTCTACCCCACCACAAATTTTTTTTTACAGGAAGGTAATGAGCGCCGGATTCATCGAGCTTGCGAGAAACTTGCACGAACAGGAATCGCTCGATCACTAGTGACCCCCATTTGTAGGGTAAGGGACAAGGGTTAAATTAAAAATCAATTAAATATAATATGACAATTACAACTCATAACACATTTCAATATAAAATTTTTTTCTGATATAAATGAATAACCGAGAGAGAGAGAGAGAGAAGAAGAATAAAGAAATGTGTTTTGTAATATGGTAAAATAAAATTAACTAGATGTTCAACTTTGCTTCCGCCGTTTTTTTCCCGAAATTCGAGGCTTTATTGTAAAAAACTGGTTATACATTTATGATTCAAAGTATTGTCCATCGCTGGCCACTACTTTCTCCCATCTTTCGGGTAGCGTACGAATTCCGCGTCGAAAAAACTGGTCATCTTTTGAGGCGATCCACGAATCGATCCAATTTTTTACTTCTTCATAAGACCGGAAGTGCTGGTCAGCCAGGCCGTTTGTCTTTCAATGCTCGGCTCAAACGCATCAATTGCGTTCGATACCGATCGCCTGTGATTGTTTCAGTCGGTTTTAACAGCTCATAATACACAACGCTGAGCCGGTCCCACCAAATACAGAGCATGACCTTGGAGCCGTGAATATTCGGTTTGGCCGTCGACGTGGAAGCATGGCCGGGTACTCCCCATGATTTTCTGCGCTTGGGGTTATCGTAATGAACCCATTTTTCGTTTCCAGTCACAATGCGATGCAGAAATCCCTTCTGTCTTTGCCTTTCAAGTAGCTGTTCACAAGCAAACAAACGCCGTTCAACATCTCTCGGCTTCAACTCGTACGGCACCTAATTTCTTTGCTTCTGAATCATTCCCATGGCTTTGAGGCGTTTTGAAATGGTTTGTTGAGTCACTCCCAATGATCGTGCCAATTCTTCTTGATTTTGACACGAGTCTTGATCAAGTAATGCCTCCAATTCTGCATCTTCGAAAACCTGCTCTCTTCCACCGTTATGCCAGTCTTCAACGTCAAAATCACCGTTCTTGAAGCGTTGAAACCACTCACGACACGTTCTTTCACTAATAGCGGCCTCACCATAAGTATTTGAGAGCATTCGATGAGCCTCAGCCGCAGATTTCTTCATATTGAAGCAGAAAATTAAAACCTTCCGCAAATGACGAGAATTTGGCTCGTAAACTGACATTTTCAATCGAGAATAACTTTATGATGCAGACACAAATCGACTAATATTTCTATGGGGTTATGTTGACAGATGTTTAAGTTTATTGTATGACGTCTATGATCTATTTATTTCGACCATCACTTACCGCTAAAGCCATCTATAGGAAAACGGCGGAAGCAAAGTTGTACACCTAATAGTTTCACTGGTTAATTGGATATCATAAATTTTTAGAGTCCATTGATATTGTAAACGACAGATCATAGCAACACAGATTTAAAAATCTCAATTAAAGAATTTCGCTCTATTTGTTTTGCAGTTTAAAATGAGATCGTCAAAGTAGTATGTAGCAGGATTAGATGACCTCATTTCAAGAAATTGCACACAGCGAAGTCTGGACAGACACAACAAGTTCCAGTTATCGAGCCCCTGATAAATTCAACTCGACGCGCCCCTTTTTTCTAAATATATCATATTCGAGTACTACACGAGGAGAGAGAGAGAGAGAGAGAGAGAGAGAGTGCGCGCGCGCGCGCGCGCGTGTGTGTGTGTCAAAGCATAATCTATAAAAATTCTATACGACTTATGTCCACTTCTATCAATAGATTAACTTTAATCTTGATTTTCACTTTTTATTCTTTTCTAATTCTAATTAGAATTAGCGAAAAATAATGAGTAAATTAAACCAAGATTGAAGTTAGTCTATATTGAAATGGACATTAAACTCCTTATATCTGTATCAATATTATAGAATCGATAATACAAGTCTAGATATTTTCATAGATGTGAGTGGTGTACATACAACAAGCATACTGTGATAATAACTACGCAACGAGATTTAAACGTTTTTAATCCGATTAGAACGGGAGTCACTATGGCGCTAAAACAAGTTACACAAGTGTTATATTTTGAGGCAAAGAATACAATAAAATAATAAATTATAACAAATCTTACTCAAGAAAAAGCTATAAAAGCTTAAAAATAAATCTCCGCTCTCTAAAGGTTAAATATCACATGCACTATAATTTATCATTTTTTGGGACAATTATATATTTTTATAATTATTTAACTATGCAAATATAGTCAATTGCATTATTAATAATAATCATACATTGTTTGAAAATCTTTAGTTTTTTCTTAATATATTTTTCAGTTATTATTACTAAATAAATAGTAAGTGAATTTAAGAAAATAGTTATGTTAATTATGTAATTGCAATTGCATTTACTTGTGTGAGTAAAAATGTTTATTTCTTTATTTATATCTTGATATTTTACTACATTAATATTTAAAAAATTATTAAAATTTATAGTACAATTTTTTCATATCTGAGAAAACTGTATGTATGTACAAAGTGTCCCGACTTGTTTTGCCAATCACTTTTGTGTAGATAGAGCGGACTAAACTGAGTCGAAAAGTCCTGTATCATTTTGCAATTTTCGCAATAATTAACAAGATATTAATTACTAAAAATTGCAAAATATTAGTCTTGAATAATTTTTACTCAAATACTATCAACTTTACGGAAAAACTGCAAGAGACAAAAGTTATTTATTTTCTTTTCATAAAGTTCTGAGAATTTTTTCAGAATTTTTTCAGAATTTTTTCAGAATTTTTTAATACCGTATTTTTTCATGTTGGTAAAAATAAGAAAATGCAGTACTAAAAAGTTGATGAAAAAGTTGGCAAAAAAGATCGGGACACCCTGTATATATGATTATTATTTTTAATATTATAGCAGTAATAACAATAATAATCATAAAAATGAGACTCCTAATCATAACTGTTTTACTATGCAATTATAGTCACAAAAATCAACATAAACATCAAACACTTTTTCTCAGTGTAAATATGACAATAATTGAACAATGCATGATACATCTGCAATCGTATAATAAAATAAAAATTGTGCTAAGAAATTTTAATTTTTTATAGCGATCGTATAGCCTCCGATAATCAGCTGTATATCTGTTCGTCTTTGGTCTAATTGAGGGGATGGGCGGAATAAAAAGGCACAATTCTACACGGAGAAAATTTTATATTAAGTTTTAATACACAATTTTAAATTACACTTTATGTCTTGTATGTCTTGTATTTTCGATGGATTCTCACATGATTCCGACGTAACTTTTACTATGGTAATACTAATTTTTATCACATAAATAAAGTAATTATTTTGTTAAGCCATATTCTAACATGAAAACAGTTAATTTTTACTATGGTATGCAAACAAAATTTGCTAGGTATATTTGATTTTGTAATAAAAAATTTTTACTATAAAAAAGTGTAACAATTACGCTATATTATTGTTTTAAAAAAAGTAACTATAGCATTTAAACTTATAATTTATATGAAAACCGCAGCTACCACATTATAGTAATTTTAAATATAAAATTTTCTCCGTGTACTTAGGCCCTTTTTCCGGTAATTAGCTTTTTCATGTAATATTTATCGTAATAGAGAAGTATTCTAACATGTAATTTCTTAAAGACATTACATAAATTCATTTAATATTGTACCTATTTATGTATAATAAAAAAGTAGCAAGTTATTTTAGTTTTTATTAATATCAAGATTTTGTAATTAGGCCTTTATTCCGCCCATCCCCTCAATTGTAAGGGACATGAGTGCCTCCGAATTGGCGCCAGGCTTCCTGTCGATACGCGCGATTAACAAGTTTATTTCATGGTAGCACGTGGCGGGGAACGATCGGGACCTCCTCTAGTCAGTTGAATGACCGTATCTCCGAAAACACACGGCC